ATTTCTTCACAAATTGTTGATGATTCACGTAGCGAAGTTTTTGGAAGATTTTGACGGCAGCTTAAGCTAACAGACAGTCGATGACGACAGTATCTCCAGGTATCCCAAGCAGACACAATAACTTGAGGCTCACATCACCATTTGAGCACTTGCATCATCGCTTTCGCGTAACAGCATGCAATTATGTATTAGTTTAATTTCACAAGAGCTATAAGGATCATAATTCGTGAATAGCTCTCCATTTTCCCTTTTTTAGGGTTCCGTCCATGACCGTCCGTCCGTCCGCGGTTTTACTCAGTGACCCTAGGTGCTACAAACCTGTAATTTGGCATAGTTGTAAATATTAGGCATACCTACAAAACTATGTAATAAAATCTTAATTCAATAAAATCTTTTTTTGTGTACCATACAGATAAAGGGAGGATGATTTTTTTATTCGTCTATTCCATCGTGAGGGGTGTCATTGGAAAAGTCTTTTAAAAATATTAGGGGTATGGATCTATACATTTTTGGATTCAGGGGTCCGTTTGCGAAATATTTAGCCTTAAAGTTGTATTTTTATTTGAGTCATGTACCCCTCCCCCCTCCTTTACTAACAAAACCCCTGTTTATGGAAATGCGTAAAGTATGCAGTACATGTAACCATAAAAGATAGTGGGCTTACCCAAGTTAACCAGTAAAAGTCGATCAACTGTTACAACGTTTATGCGGGCGATTCTCAGGATAGCTTAGAGCAGTAATGGCTTACGGGAAGGTTCGTTATGATCATGTATACCTAAGGGTATATTTCAGAGTTGATAGTGTACTATGACCATTTTTGTATGGAATTTGCATGTGAATGATTTGATTTTAATTTGAAATAGTAACAATTATTTTCCAAATCGAAAAGATTTTTAATATTTCTTTGTACACCACTCCTTATAAATCTACTTGGAACGTAAGTTCTTCAGTTACCATCGTCTTTTTGGGGCCTATTTTAGTCGTTATAGCGGTCAAACATAAACAGGGAAAACATTATCACCACAACCACCACCAACACCACCACCGCCATCAGCATCAGCATCAAAATTACAGCCCTTCACAAGTTAACTGCAGAACATAGGCCTCCCCCAAAGAAATGCCACAAAGCACTGTTCTGAGCTACCTGCACCATCGACTTTCTGAATGGCTTAACAGGTCATCACTCCATCTTTGGGACGCACTACACTTCGTCTACCGGTACGAACTGCCACTCGAGAACCATTCTTCCCCATCGGTTTTTGGTTCTTCGACCTATATGGCCGGCCAATTGGCACTTCAGCTATGGCGGAATCCTAGTTTATATTTCTATCTTCCTAAGTACAGAAACCCCAAGCGTTGCTCTCTCGATAGCTCGCTGAGCAACCTTGAGCTTCCACATACGGCCAGCAGTAAAGAACCACGTCTCAGATCCGTAGGTCATCACTGACAACATGCACTGCTTCTATAATCTTGTTTTGAAGGTTTAAGGTATGCTTAACGAGATGTGTCGTAATCTCCCATAAACTCAATATGCTCATATTTTCAAGAAGATATTGTAACGGGCAACTACGGAACCCTACCTGGACAATGTCTGTGGCCCTACACGTACTTGGGCCTGATTCATATTTTCTTTTTGGTGTTGTCGAATTGTGAAATTATCTTATTTAAAGATTTATTATTTGAGTATTAGAATATCAAGATAAAATATCGTAAAATATCACACGTTCGTTTTTTTTTGTACCTCAAGTATGCTTAACGAGAAGATGTGTCGTAATCTCCCACAAACTGACTTAATATGCTCATATTTTCAAGAAGGTATTCTGACGGGCAACTACGGAATCCTACCTGGACATTGGCTACACGTACTTGGGCTGTTTTTTATTTAATAATTTCCAAAAACACTCGATTCATATTTCCTTTTTGGTGTTGTCGAATTGTGAAATTATCTTTTTGCAAAGGTATTATTATTTGAGTATTAGAATATCAAGATAAAATATCGTAAAATATCACAATACATTCGTTTTTTTGCCCGCGAAAAACGAGGAAGTAAACTATTAAACTGTATGGTTTTTGTACGTATGTTACGCGTTATTTAGTCAACTGTGTCAATTATCTTCCACTTTAATTACAATCATTAGAGTGCATAGACATTTGTTTGATAGTTACATTTTGTTGATTATGTACCTATGACTACTTTAAAGGTTGTAAGAAAAAATTTATTATAAAATAAATAAATATTTTCATTATACCAATTATTTGACTGCTATAAAATAATAAAAAAGGCGAAAAATAGGTAAATAGAGCCGAATATCGCATAGTAGCCGAATATTCGTTGTAAGTCTACTTCAAAGTGATCTTCAGTGCAAAATTTCAGCTGATTTGGTGGTGAATTTTGACTCTAAGTCACATTGATATTCACGAGACGACCTGATTTAATTAATCGCAGGATATAAATTCCCACGACTGTGAGTGAATGTTTCGACTTCCCTGTCCGTCACGCTCTGAATATGTCTCACTGTCAACGAAATGACTACGAATCGATTGTTGTCAACATTCGATATAGTTCTATTCAATTTTCTCTACACAGAATAGTAACCTATTATGTTATGAAAGGCTACAACTATGAATTGAATGAAATGCAATAACCATAAATATAGAGTATAGTAGTTTATACTAAATCTTTGGCAATAACATCTGGTCGCAGCACACAGGCTAGGAACTTACCTTATATGTCTAAGTAACATATATACTGTAAAAATAGCTCTAAAAAAACCGGCCAAGAGCGTGTCGGGCCACGCTCAGTGTAGGGTTCCGTAGTTTCCCATCCGTCACAATAAGTGTTCCCACTTATGAGTATAAAGGTGGGTATCCATTATGTTCGCGCTCCAGCAGCACTCCGCGGTCCTGCAACTGCTCCCGCTAGTGGGTACGTGCGCGAACATGGAGCGTGCAACATTGCACGCTCCGCGGCATGGAAAGTTCGCGCTCCAAGCTTTCCATCCAAGTTCAAAATGATTTTCCTAGAAAGTCCTTATAAAGTTCTACTTTTCAGATTTTTTTTCATATTTTCTAAACTTATGGTTAAAAAGTTAGAGGGGGGGGGGGGACACATTGTTTTTAAATTTCGGAGCGATTATTTCCGAAATTATTGACATTATCAAAAAACGATCATAGTAAACCCCTATTCATATTTAAATACTTTTTCAACAATATAACACACGTTAGGGTTGAAATTAAAAAAAAATCACTTCCCACTTTACATATAAGGGGGCTACCCTTATAAAACATTTTGTTCCAATTTTTATTTTACCACTTTGTCGGCGTGATTGATACACATATTGGTAACAAATTTCAGCTTTCTAGTGCTAACGGTCACAGAGATTAAGCGAGGACGGACAGACGGACAGACAGACATGGCGGAACTATAAGGGGAAATAAGTAGACACAAAAAAGGAAATATAGAACATTCTCGAATTCGTGACAAAATAAGATCGAGTGTTTATCAAAAATCAGCGAGGACATAACGTTTACATCTATTATGTGCTTTTGTGGATAGGTACCAGTTATTTTGGGTGCAATAAAGTATATATAAATTGTGGAGGCGAATGACAATGATGTTGGTTAGTTATGAAAGCAGTATCAGTTTCATATGTATACGTAATTTGTACTTTCTGACCGACAGTATTTTAATAAGTACAAATTTTACTTAATAATATATCAATTTGTAATAATGAGTGTTAAAAAATACGCGATGTAAAAAAATCGACATCTTAGTATCTATACGATTGGCATGGCGCGGGTCACGGTTTCGAATCCCAAACCTAATATTTTATTGTGTATGAATGATTGTTGCGTGGCTAAACGCTGTGTGCTTTTTTATATACATTTTGTGTACTTACGTTTTACCTATATGACACAGAAGTAAATCTTATTGTGAGGGTTTAAATCAAAAACAAAGAAAGACAGCAAATAAAATTAAAATAGATTTCAAAGTTAAGTTACCTCAATCAAGATAGATTTCATAGTTATATACGTTACAAACTTTACATATTCAATGTGATTTCGTTACTTGAATTATATTAATGTTAGTAAAAACCGAATATCATGAGGTCATTGGTCACCATAGAACAATAATCGTAAATAATATTCACGGTTAGGTGGATATTTCGAGACTTCCGTTTGATTTCATCAGATTTACGCCATTTCCCCAAACGACACAATCAACCTTTTAGACGTGGTAGAGCCATGCTGCAGTTATATTAGCAGTATATTGCAGCACGATTGGTTTGCTCGACCGGGGAAGGACCACGCTCTCACAGAATACCAGCGTAAAATAGTAGCTTAATGCTGCTGTGTTTCGTATGGTGAGAGTAGAGAACCGGAGACCCTTTTTACTGAATACGAGGCATTCTATCTTAGTCCTCACGGGTGACAACGAATCTGCATTTTGATTCGTAATCGAGGATAGATGTAGATGTCTATGGGCCGCAGCAACCACTTACCATCAGGTGGACTGTGTGCTCGTTTGTCACCCTATCCCATATTTTTTAAAAAACTCAGTCGATGAAGAGTATGGGATTTTCATAGTAAATGTCATCAATAGTATGTACGATATTAAATTATGGGTTGAAATATTAGGTGGTTATACGTAACGATTTTTCTCACTATGACGTGGATGGCGGCGTATACACTACGACACATCACTGGTACAGGTCACAATTTTGTTTAATTTAATTCCTTGTTAAACTATAGATAATATATCCACGCATTAGTATGTTCTGTGGCTTCATAAATTTTCTGTTTTAAATCAAAGTTTGAGCAGTATGACTGCAGAAAGGTTTGAATCTGAAGAGAGTTAGGAATGCATAGGCAGTTACAGTACGTTCAGATCCGAAAGCGAATTTGTAAACGAGAACGACCAAATAATGAAAAGAAAACTATAATTATCATTATCGCATTTCAGTGATTAGTGGAGATTCACAAACATGGAGAATTTTCCGATGGTTCTCGTATGGATTGCTACTATGCTGCAAATGGTGATTTCCTTCGATATCCAGCAATCTTCGGAAGTGAACACTGAAGTAAGATATTTACAAATGATGTTATAATTGCGAGATATAATATCTTTTTTTATTATAGGATAGGTGTGACTAACGAACACACACAGTCAGTCCACGTGATGGTAAGTGGATATTGCGGCCCATGGACATCCATATTTATCCCCGATTAAGAGTCAAAATACAGATGCGTTTTCACCCCTGAGGACTATGATGTAATACCTCGTATCCAGTAAAAAGGGTCTCCGGTTCTCTACACTCACCAAGACAGCAACTTTAAGCTGCTATCTACGGTGGCATTCTGTGACAGCTGGGTTCTTTCGTAACCATATTACAGCTGCAGCATGGCGCTACCACTTATAGATCTTAATTATAATAATTCTTTTGTAGAGATTTGATGTTTCTTTAAAAGTGAAGGTAAAGTAAAGCCTATATTGGTGTCGTAGTAGGGTAGAGCTGAGATATTAAAGTAGTTAAGAAAAGTATAGTTTTAGCCTATATACATCCAACTACTGATATTTCTTTGCCCTAAAACCTCCTTAGAAATGTGAGTGACGGAACGTGTAAAGATAGTAACTATATTTTACTTTCACTACTTTTATTTAATAATCGATTTCTTTCATGATTAAAATGTTATATAACTGTAAACCACAAATATGTATGTATTAGTACAAATTCAGAGACACAGGCTTACTAAGTTATATATGTTTTTAACTTTAATTACGTAGATGTTTAGTTCATTTAATTTCTATAATGTGTTGGTAGGTATTTCGTTTTCTTTCTTAACACAAGTTTTATTAAGGATTACAGGCAACAGTCGTACATACATGTTATTTGGCATACAAATCAGAACCTTAAATCTATAATGCCTCTATATGTTGAAAATATGTATGCTGTTAGTATGTATTGTATTAACCCAGTTGTAAGAATATCCACTACCCCATATCATCCCGTGGGTATCGTAAGAGGTGACAGAGGAAAACAAGTCTTTCCAATAACGACTAAAAGCTCAAAACTGCGGTTGCCAACCCGCTTTCCAAGCGTGGAAACTATGGCAAATATAGTCCCTACAGCAGTGAACTTTAATAGGCTATAACGGTAACGGTATGCTGTTGGTATGTCTTACAAAGAAGTAAATAAACACACAAAAGAACGGCTTCCGGAGGCACGGTGGTGAAACCCCGCTAACTTCAATGAATGCGAAATCAATATTCCGGGTTGCTACTGAGAGTTTTGTGACAGAAAAACCCAATAAATGATTCTTGGCGCAACTCTGGTTTTCAACCCGGGACCACATGATCAGCATAAAATAAGCCAAGAACTTGCTAATAAGGTGATTTATAAATGAATATAATAACAATAAGAATATAATAAGTCAATATTAACACTGTCATTGCCAAAATAATAATGACTTAAAAGACAGTTTAAATTAAAAAAAATATTTCATGTTTTCAGGATAGTATATCATTAGACGCAATCCGGGGGCGACGCGGCGTAATAGAAGAAGAAAAATATTACAATATACATTCTGAAACGCGACAAGACAATATAAATCAACGTACACCTTGGTTGCCAGGTTCATTACATTCCGGTGAAGATCAAACCACTAAAATATCAATTATTAACGACGCCAAAGATTCCTTGCCATTGCATCAAACAACAGAAAGAGTAACAGATAAACCAACTGGACGAGGAGCGAGGGCTTCTAATGAAAACTGGGTAAAACTACCCTATCCTTCACATGATGATACCACTAGAGATAACAATATTCTAACTCCTCCGCAGCCTACAGGCGATCTAATCAATTCTCGCATGCCAAGAGTCAACTTTGTCACACAAAACAACGCCTTAGAGGCGTCTGAATCTCGTGATAAAGAATCTATACAAAGATCAACGCGAACGGATGACATAAGGACCGAATTCGTACGACCCGATGAAAACGATTTATTACGACAAAAGCCTATATATCCCAGGCAAGCGATGTATTATCCAGAAGATCCAAGACGTCAGTACTACGATGATCGATACCATAATGACGATTTATACAGACGTGATCCGTATTATGATTTATATGATCGCAAAAGATATTATCCCGGCCCTAGAGTTGACAGGTACGACGATCCTTACGATAATTATGTGCCGCGAAAACCAAAGAGGATCATCTACTACGCTCACCTGCCAGAAGTAGTACGAACACCGCCCAGTGTCGACTTAAGATATCGATATTCCGTTGATCCATATCGACGATTCGATGACGATTATTATGCGAGAACTGGCAGGTATGATTACAGATTTAGAAACAGGCACCCTTATGCTGCTTTAACAAAAGAGGAGAGGAAATATAGAGACTTGGCCAGTGCTAGTACTGTTAGTAAGGACAAAAATGTTGAAGAAAAAGTAACCCCTACGCCAATATTATCCAAGAAGGAAGAGAAGTTTACTAATACTAACAATAACAGAAATTCAAACAGAAATAATATAAACAGTCATCAGTATCATGAAGAAGATTCAAGTTATAATGATCAAATGAGTCACAAAGGTTTCCTGGATAATAAAAGACCGGACAATGGATATTTCAGATTTGAAGAGCCTTTGTTCCACGCTTCCATTGAGGACCCCTATCAAAGAAAATATTAGTTTAGATTGCGTTTTAATAAACTCTATGTGTATGTTTTTTTGAAGTTTTGAAATAAATGTATTTTGAAAACTTCGAAGAAAACGGTATTATGTGCTAGGTAGGATATGGGTATTAAATTGGTTGCTAATTATATTTTGTGAATTTTTACAAAAGTAAAATTTTCATTGTAATTTGCCAGTAATAAATGTGAGTACGAAGTGTCGTTTTAATTATTTAAGGGGTGTTCCAGCCGCGACAAATTGTACAAGTAATAAATCGGGCGTTTAAATTAAAACACGGGAGGGTGAAGATGAATTTCATTAAGAATTAATTAATGTCATTCTTAAGCGTTTTGTTTTTCCGCTCGAATAAAAAACATCTGGCGGAGATGTTCGAGCGGCGACGCGTTTTCTTGAGGTAATTAAGCAATAAATTTTGTGGCTGGCAACATCTCGAGGTGGGGGCCAATTACGTTGCGCATTTAAGAAAATGAATGTTCAACACTCGAGTCGGCAGTATTATTCCGTATTAAGCAATTATATTATATGTGTCTTGATTATTATCGAATGTAATAATGCCTCCAGACCGAATTTCGGTTTCGGCGACCAGTGTCAATGGAGACATTAGTGCAGGTTAGAATTATAGTGTCCGAGTGTATGCGCAAGCATTATTAGTGTACTCTAAGGGATACCTTTACTCTCACAGTCCGATAGCACGTTTGTCCGACACGACCGGAGAGAGATCAGGCACAAAGACCTACGGTATTCCGTGCTTTCCAAGGTGTAGTCGTGAAATACCGCCAATTTCCTTACTCCAGGCTGCTTATGAGGATTATATGGCAGAAAAATTCATTAACTGATTTTGGCCCGACCCGAGATTCGATCCCAGGATTATATGCTCAGTAATTGCGTTTACGACTACTAGGCCAACGAGGCAGTTAAACAGTAATTTAATATGTACAAGACTTCCCTATGAAATTAAATTAACTGTAATTTCATCTTATAAAATAAAGCTAAATTTAGACACGTTTTAAAATATAAATCTGAATTTAGCGTTATCAGAATAAGGCCGCGAAAACGGGACAGCTACAAAACCAGCGTGACTAATTAGACTTAAGGGCTTAGAAAAAATCCTACGACGTGACAGCATGTAATCAGGGGGATAGATTTGGTATTTTAGCCGTTTTTTTTAATGGCGAGCTTGGGTCCGCGGATTAATGGCGCAGCCATAAATAACACGTAATTAAATGTCTGTTTTTGGGTTTTAGGTGAGGATTGTGTGTTACACAAAAGACGTTAACGATGAAGTATTGAAAGTATCATCTGCGTGATGGAATGCACGTTTTTAATGTATCCTAATCACTGTCATCGACGTCATTACATTAATAAGTCATTTTCGAAAACGAACCTTTCCCACAGTAGAGCATTTGCCTTATTCCAGATTCCAACATTATTTTTATAGTATAAGGGTGACAAACGGGCACACAGTCCACCTGATAGGAAATGGTTGCTGTGGCCCATAGACATCTACATCTATCCCCGTGAGGACTAAGATGGAATACCTTGTTTCTAGTAAAAAGGGTCGTCGGTTCTCCACACTCACCAAACAAAACACAGCAGCGTTAAGCTGATATCTGACGCTGGTATTCTGTGAGAGCGTGGCCCTTCCCGGGTCGAGCCTATTACAACTATACCAGTAATATAGCTGCAGCATGGCTCTATCACGTAAAAAATATATTCAAGAAACGTTTAGTTTTTTCTGTAACGATCCGTTTTATTACTAACGAGATGAAAAATGGTTTTTATTACAATTACAAACTATTTATTCAGCTACTATGGATGACTTAAAATGAAAAAAGCTTTAAAGGGCTCATAAATAGTTGAACAGGTATTTTGTTTTAAAGAAGGGTTATTCATGCATCCTTTTCTTCAAAACGGCTCTTAAAAGAAAACGAAGCGTTGTATAGAAACTCGGACCATGTGAACCTATGTTATTATGGTTCAGGGATTTTGTTGAAGATGACTCGGTACCTACTACTGAAGTTAACCTACGTCCATCCAGATTGAACTCGCTAAGTCCATTTGGAGGGACCAGCTCGTGCCATCCTAGTAATATCCACTTTCTTTACCGTGGGTAACCAAGCTACGGTTACTAAGCCTTCCACCACAATAAGGTGGGAATACGTTTGGGGGACCAATAACAACGATGTCAGTTTACTCAAGATAGAGTGCTTGCCGGTACGAGACTGCCACGCAAGAACATTGTTTTTCCGCTTATTGTTCGCCCTACGAACTATTTGACCGGTCTATTGCCACTTCAGCATACGGATTGTTTTATTTATTTTATTATTTATAAAGCTTAAATATAACACTTTAAAGTTAAAGGTACATAGGGCGGACTTAATGACATGTGGCATTCTCAGTCAACTCTGGGTGCCTGGATGAATTACATATTTAACATTCTCATTTTGATCAGCCTCTTTAAGTATGTATTGACATTCCTTCTTCTAAAGGTGACAAAAATAATTTATTATGTCCTTAATTTTAACTGCAAAATATTGCGCATCTAATGAAATAAAACAATCACTTGCATTGTCTTAAACTATTTATAGTTATCTTAAGTACAATTCATATCCTCAGTCTATCATATTATCCTCTCTCTCTCTCCCTTTCGGCAGTCTATAGAATCTGATGATGCTTCAATCCGAAGGCAATCCAGGTGTAGAGTGTAGAGGTTAGAGTTGTATTGGATTTAATGATGGCAGTGACGGCGCACGGGAAAGTTGGAGGGAGGGAAATGCTTTCCAAATAGTTACTACGTCTACCCGTTTTATATTCGCAGATGCATCTTGCCAAATTAATTTTCTTATGTTTATTCTAAGTGCAATGCTGAACACAGATCTTCCCCATGGGTTGCCTCATGGTTACCCATACTTGCCATAGTTGCCACGTTGTGCAAGCGGGTTGCAGTTTTTTATATACCCATGTTCTATTTTAATTTTCTTCTGTCGCAGCTACTTCATTGTCGGGATGATATGTATTGAAATATTTGTACTACGTAGATACAAACCAAAAAAAAAAGAAAATATAGATATTTTAAGTTTATCAAGTGCAACAAAATCAATAGCCTTAATAAATGAGGGATACATTTATTGTACAAATAAACGGTAGGGTCGCCAAGAGTATGGACAGAGTGGATCCTTGATGAGTTGAATTATTTATGGAGTCCCCGAACTACGGTGACATCGAGTGCGGTAAGATGAACGCCGGATATTTTTAATAATTCTTAGCCAAAGATATATTTCATTCTATCAACGAATGGTTGTTCGTGTATCTTGCACAATGAAATTATGAAGATATCCAGTAGCGCAGCTTATTTGTTCGAAAACATTGTGCAACAAATTAGGGACAATTTGTATTTTATTTATTTATTATATACTTTATTGTACACCACAAAACTAAAGAACGTAATATTTAAGAGGTAGGTACAATGAGGCGATCTTATCGCTAAAAAGCGATCTCTTTTAGACAACCTAAAGATTAGGAGAAAATTGTACTATTGGAGAGTGGGAGGTGGTGTATTTTATAACAAACTTACATAACATACTAATACATAAATAAAATAAACCGATACATGGTAATAAAATGTTTTATACACTAATATATACAATAAAACATGATAGACTTACATAATAATAAATAGGCAAATATACATATAATTTACATAAATAAATACAGGCAGGATACAACAATTAAATGTCGCAAATGATGACCAGTGATTATATATAGTATTTTATAGCATAAATGACTTTTTTTCGTAATCTACTCGATATATTCTTACAACCCTTATTATATCATACAGTTTTACATAAAAATAAGACTAAGCACAATTAAAATAAATTCCTTAATATATCCCAAAATATTTTGCGGAGCACCTGGTCACCGTACAGAAAAGGGTTGTGACAGATGCTGTCCCGGAGCTCGTTGTACAACATTACATAATTTCGGCAAACAGCAGCTATGTCTTGAGGCGAAATTCATTACCGTCTCCGCCAAAATTGCCAGAATAAGGCATTACACGGGCTTTACTCAATTTTAATCCTGGGGTAAACCGGCGCTCCTAATTGGAGACCTTGTTTGTGGTAATTGTATAAAAAGTATTGTATAGTATTCTTCTTTTAACTAAATAAATCGCTTGTTTATATTATGTCCACATCAATATCAATATCTATAACCAGTTTAAATTGGTCCTCTCCTTGTTTCACACGCCTAGGCTTTTTGCTGCATTTTTCGTAGGCATTTTTAAGTATGGGCCGAGTGGTATAAGTTAAGAAAATATGTCCATACCATATGAAAAGGTGCTTTGTGAATACCGTGGTATCGTGGCAATACTGCTGCCAATATTATGTGTGAAAATTGGATGTAGCTTACATATTTGGTGGATATTTGCTATTAATAAATCACTATCAGCATTAATAAATCACAATCACCAGAGCCTCGTCCGTCAATCAGCGGCTCACCGAGGCAGGTAATGTTGGCATTTAAAGATAAAGCTTGTATATCCTTAAACCCGTTCATTAAACTCATATACTATATACACTACACTCGTTTATTTTACAATATTTCGTGGAATCTCCTTCTTCGTCTTCTCGAGTGAGGATTTTCCAGGCTGAGTCGGGTCGCTTCACGAAAAGGCTTTCTGTACTGAACTTCCATATTGAAGTCAAAAAATACGTATATAACTTCGTAATGAAGGTTAAAAAAGTGTGTTAAAACAAAAGCCACTTTAATTTATTAACAATGACAAAGTATTCATATTCTAAAGCTTAATATTATAGGTTTAACTATAAATATTCAAAATGAAAATGAACTCTAAGCAACATAAAGGCTATAAAGCGCCGTACAAACGATCCATAAATGTAAGTAGCGACATCTAGTGAGGGCGCGCGACATCACGACACTGAAACTATTAACATGTCAATAACAATTTGCTGAATTGCATTTATGTTGTTATAAATGAG